AATAATAATAATAATAATAATATGATACATTCATAGTTACATATACTTACGAATATTTGATTCGGCAACCAAACGTGAGTCGAACACGATTGTTACATGGGTCTATTCGCGTCATTTATACCCTTGAGTATACATATAATGTATACATTAATGCAGTAATGTAACTCGTTTCTCCAACAGCACGGTCAGACGGCCCTGATGCTCGCAGTGTCCCACGGCCGTATAGACATGACGCGGCTCCTTCTGGACGCGGGCGCGGCGATAAACCTCCAAGACGAGGACGGCAGCACGGCACTGATGTGCGCGGCGGAGCACGGCCACGGCGACATAGTTCGGCTCCTCCTCGGCCAGCCGGACTGCGACTCGAGCATCGTCGACGTGGACGGCAGTTCGGCGCTCAAGATCGCCCTCGAGGCCGGCCACGCGGAGATCGGCGTTCTACTGTACGCTCGCCAGCGCGCCAACCGAGCCAGTCCGATGCCCGGCCAGGGTTCCGCTGCTTCCACCCCGCCGCTCTTACCCGGCAGACCCAGCGCTGCCAGGCGACAGAGGACCACCTCCTCCTCGTCCAGTGGCCACCATCACCTGCACCATCATTCGCAGCACCATCACGCGGTCACGGCCGTTGCTGCCGGACATGCCTACTCTGCCCTGTCCATGTCCGCCCCGGCCAGTCCTGTGGCCACCGCCTCGAGGAAGTTTCACTCGTCCAGTCTGTCGCTGGTGGACTCGACCAAGTTCTCGCTCTGACGATTGTTTTCCGGATGAAGCTGGGCCCAGCTAGTCTGACTGCACTCGTTGTTGTTGTTTGTTTTTATTCCCCTGTACATTCTCGTGAAAGACGACGAGTCGACTGATTGTGTGTACTCATCCACGTACCTTGTTCTCTCTGCTTGTCTTGTGGCGATTTTTCATCACGGTGCTCCTGTTTTTTATGATAATGTCATAAAATTGTACATGATCACATATAGTACGAGAACAAATAAGAAAGACGTTTGAAATCCTTTTTTTTTCTTTTTTTTTTATTACATAGATAATTAACAGTGGCAAGGATGTCAAGTGTCAAAAGAGAAAAATTACTTGTTGGAACGTCGGGAGTTGAATCGTTATTGCTGATGTAAGAGTTCTGTTGTTAAGTGAACGTGTTCGTTTAACTACGTTGTTTAGAATTCAGTCTTGTTTATTGATACGCCTAATAAACGTCATTTGGCGTTGATTTTTCTTTGTACTTCACAGGCAGTGCTGTTTTTTTTTTTTAAAAACAGTTTTTCGTCACTGCAGTAACGTTGTACTTTTCGAGATTTGGAACGGCGAAAAAAAAAGTTGTACTCTATTACAGGGAAAAATGTTTTAAATATATATGCGGCGATAGAATATCGTTTTTTTTTTAAATTCTTTACAATAAAAGGTGTGAAATCTAACGGGCCTACTGCCACTATTATGTTTTTCTGTAGGTTGAATGTCTGAATAATTGATCATGTGATTGAAAAATTGGGGTTTTTCGTTACATTTACTTTGTATCGAGTTGTGAAGGTGTTGAGTATCATTAAGTAGACACGTGATTATTGTCAATTAATTCATCCGAGTAAGTATAATTCATGTGTGTAATGAAAAATCGTACCTGGTAGTGAGAGGAAAATGTTTCATCAGTATTTAAGAAATAAAAAAATGTTGTTTCGAGTACTTGTTATAAGTAAAACTACATGAATTGACTAATAATAAGGGGAACAAAAAAAGATATATACGTATATGAATATGTACACGTTTATGTGTTTAACTGGTCGATTATAATGACACTTAGCCTACGTGTTTTTGTACACTTCGGTAACGCTCCATTCCTTGAACAAACAAACAAAAAAAGTTAACCTTGTGCAATCAATCAACGTCGAAGTGGTTGAAAACAAAATGAATCCGCAGCCTGCGCATACTCACTTGTAATGAAGACTTTGAAATACGTATATTGTATAAGATTGTTAATAAAATAACTATATTAGATGTCTAATAACATAATTAACGATGGGTGGAATCGTGCATTCTGCCCTGCGCTCGAGACTTGAGTAAACAAATAACGATTATTGTATTTTTTATCTAAGTTTACAAATATTGCAAAAAAAAAAATTAAAAAAAAATAATAATAATAATAAAAAAGGGGCACTCCCACGTATTGGTCGTGCTTCAAATCAATAAAAAATAAAACTGAATTCCGATGAAGTTTTTTAGACTGTTTTAATCTATCATTTCGATGAATATATATGTATACAAACATTATTTATGTACATGTAAATTAATATGGTGCATATTGTGATATGCCAATATCATGCATTTATACACATAGTAAAAAAAATAGAAAATATGGAGATCAAACTAATTTTTCTCGACCTTTGTTTATTACATTATTAACCCAACTAACCTTTTAACAAGTATACACCGCAGTTTATTATTACCAAAAACATTTTCAATTTTTATGTTGGAGCACTTCGAAAGTTTCGTAATTTTGGCGCGTAACTTTTAACTCAGCCACGCATGCGCACTCGTACGAAAATCGGAAAATAAAGCGGGAAGCGGGAAAATACAGAGCTAGTCGACTTGTCGACACCTGTCCAAAGTACAGCTGATCAATGGAGTCGTGTTTATGAAATTTGTCAACGTGTATCTGGTATAATGTGCGCCGTGATGGTTTTAGAGCAAAAAATGTTATTCATATTTTATTTGTAGTTTTAAAATCAACTATATTTAGTTTTTTAGCGCATATTTACATTTTTTTTTTATTAAAAGTGAAGTGATATTTGTTGTTTACGTTTGAAAAATGGTCAGCTTAGGCAATCGAATAGTGGTTTTGATTGACATGGACTGTTTTTTCTGTCAAGTCGAGACAAAATTACGGCCAGAATATGCAGGAAAACCTCTGGCCGTAGTGCAGTATAATTTATGGGGATCTGGAGGGTAAATTACTTATTTGTTGGAACTGTCTACTTTTTAAATGCCATTTAAGTATTTGTTTCATTTTAATAACTAAACCCTCGATTTTCGCTTAGAATTATCGCTGTTAATTACGAGGCCAGAGAATTTGGTGTCACTCGTCACATGCGCAGCGAAGAAGCAAAGGAAAAGTGTCCTGAAATCATTTTAGCAACAGTTCCCCCATTACGTGGAAAAGCAGATACTTCCAGGTAATTTGTAATTTGTTTAATAGTTAGTATTTTCTATTGTTAATCGATCAGCAGTTGAAATGTACATATTTTTCATATCCCATGTGTAGATACAGAAGTGCTGGGCGAGAAGTCATCGATGTGTTGAAAAAACATTGTAGTATTGTAGAAAGAGCTAGTGTTGATGAAGCTTATTTAGATATAACACAAATTGTTGATGAAAAATTAGCCAAGGAAAATATTGAATCCAGTGATTTGTTCACTGAATTAAGTACCACTTACATCGTAGGACATTCAGAAGTTGGTGTTAATAATGAAGGTTTGTTTCAGTCTTACTAAGTGTAATTCAAGTTTGAACATGATTATACATTACGATTATATACAGAAAAGAGAGAGGAGGGTCTCAAAACTTGGCTCTCCGAAGCATCAGAAGATCCTCAAATTCAGAGATTAGCCATTGCTGGATCACTTGTGGAACTTATTAGAAAAGATATTTTTGAAGTAACAGGCTTCAAGTGTTCAGCAGGCATATCTTTCAACAAGGTTTGTCTTTAACATTGTTTAACCATCACTTGTCAGTGTAATTCACTTGTAAACTTTATTTTTCAAAGATTCTCGCTAAATTGGCATGTGGTCTTCATAAACCCAACAGACAAACAATTTTGCCTGCATCTTCAGTTCCTGATCTGTTTGGAGCATTGCCAGTTAAACAAGTCAGGCATCTTGGAGGAAAGTTGGGAGACATAGTTATAGATTTGTTAAAATGTAATGTTATGGCAGATTTATTACCATTCTCCTTACAACAACTTCAGAATAATTTTGATGAAAAAACAGGGTTAATAGATTTATATTTGAGTAGTAATAAATTGTGTAAAAACGTATTTTTAATACTATTGGTTTTCAGGCTCTGGTTGTACAATATAGCAAGAGGTATAGATAATGAGCCTGTGACCTCAAGATTAGTTTCAAAGTCTTTGGGAGCTTGCAAAAGATTTCCAGGGAAGCAAGCCATAGTAGATATCGAAGTGGTAAGTCAATTGAAAGTTAGAGGGTGTCTGAACTCTATTACATAAATTAAATATTTACAGCTAAAGCACTGGCTTGGAGAATTGTCAGCTGAAGTATGCGAAAGACTTGAACAAGATCAGGATGAAAATGAACGGAGGGCGTCGTTGTTAACATTTAGCTATCATTTTTTCCAAAACAATATTTTAGTATGCCAGTCCAAATCTCTTGCCTTAACGTCGTACAAGCCCGAGAGAATGGCAGAGCAATGCTTAAATATTGTCGTAAAAGCAACGCAGTTGAAATCCATTGGCTTTCTTGGGCTTTCAGCAGGAAAATTTATTAGAGCAAGAGGAAGCGAAAGCTTTGTCAACTTTTTCAAAACGGGAGCAAGTAATGATAATTCTATCTGTACAGCAACTACAAATACTGTCACCGAAAATAATGTTATAGAAGATTTAAAAGCAGACAAAGACGTGCAAGGGACTTATCAAAATGTAAATAGTGAAAGAAGCAACGACACCGAAGCAATTCATAAGAGTATTTTTGGAAAGGAAACGGAAAGTAAAAGTGTTAAGCCAGTTACTCCGGTATCCAAACCAAAGCCAAATCGCAGAAAATCATCTCCTTGTAGTAGTATTCAAAAATCATTAAAAAGCGATAACTTCAAAAAATCATTCTTTATGAAAATTCTCAAGGAGAAGCGGCCAGAAGTTGAAGTTGCTGTTGTGAAAACCGACTCTCCTGAAAGTGACCATCAAAATACTGATTCACTTCAAACGTCTGGTGAGTTCATTGAATCGCCAGACATGTTTGCTGATAATGATGAAGATGATGACGATGTATGTTTTCTTGAAAGTCGGCCCTCTACATCCAAAAAGCCAGAATTTCAGAGTGTACAGTCGGAACAACAAAACTCTTGTAATAGTGGTGGGGCAATTGATTTACTCAAAGAGATGTTTCCAGATTTAAACAATATAGATGTGGAAATCGTGAAAATGTTACCGCCAAACTTGCAACAGGAAGCTAGAAAATATTTACGTGCGTCAAAGGATACGGACAAAAGTAGTGAAGTAAAAAAAGTAGTGAAAAACAAAGAAACTAGTAGCAGTAAAATATCTAAAGAAAAATCCTCGAAATCTAAAAATAGTAATTTTAAACCAAAAAACATTCAAAAATTTTTCATTAAAACAGACTCGCGTAACGACTCAAACGATAATTTTAAAAAATGTACAGAATGCGATCAATTGATTTTGGTTGGTAAGTTTAATGAGCATACAGATTATCATATGGCGATAAATCTCCAAAGAGAAATTAATCAAACAAGTGTCGATGAAAATAGGAAAAGAAAAGGAAGTGTGGATAGTTCAAATCAATTGAAAAAACGAGTGAGTGAAGAAATCGCTACGACTTCATGAGTGAAAAAAAAATCTCCAAAATTTTTTGAGAATAGTTCAGTTCTTTTAATTAACAAAAAATTGCAAATACACTGCATTCAATGTAACTTTGTTTTACTTACAAGCTACTTACATGATTTAATTGTATAATCACCCATGTAGTATTATTTTCTATAGTTTGTAATTGTAATTATAGAAAAATGCTTAATGAAGCTCTAAAACTCCATTGATAAGTTAATTTATAAGGTAAAAATAACTAGTTAAAAAATTGAATGTCACGAACGTGGTGATATGTGGCATGAAACAGTTGTGTTAATACCTTCGTCCTCCGCCTTGCCCTTGATTACGATTATTGTAACCAGAATCTCCGCCTTGATTCCAGCCGCCTTGAACGCGGCCGCCTCTGTTTTGACCACCTCCACTTTTTCTATCGTAACCTAATGAAATGTTAAATATTATTGTACAAACGACGGTGTAAAATACAATTTTATAGTCAATACAATTTTAGCAAAAAGTTTTATGTAAATTAAGTAGTTATTAAAATTTGTATGCATAATAAGTACTATTATAGTTTTTAAATATTCATTGAATTAAAACTTTTGTACTGAAATTATTATTGAGTAAACATCAACTTGAATTTTCACCTCCTTGGTTTCCATATCCACCAGAACTTTGATTCCCATAATTCTGGTTTCCAAATCCACCCGAATTTTGATTACCATAGCTCTGGTTTCCAAATCCACCGCCTCGGTTGTTGTAACCGAATCCTTGACCTCTGGACGAAAAAGAGTTTTGATTACCACCATACCCGCCACCGAATCCGGAAGCTTGAGTGTACTGAGGGCTTGGGTTGGAATAAGAAGTGAACTGTTGCTGCTGCGGTTTATCGAAATTCTGTCCGAAATTCGACGAAGCGGATTTGTTGTCACGGTATCCTCCACCACCACCGCTGCCGCCACCACCACCACGGCCACCACCACCACCACCACCTCGTCCACCGCCGCGGCCACCTCCAAATCCTCCTCTAAAAATGTTTATAATCATATACATTATGCTGATCGATACTACCAATTAAATTTTGCAGTTATCCAACGTACCTTTGTGGTCCTTGTACTTTGTCTTTCTGCCAAGATGGTATTTCCGGTGGAGGTGGCGGCTGTTCGCCTGGTCTGCCTCCTCGATCCGGTACTGCACCAATAATAACTTTGTTGATGGAACTTTTTGTATTTTTACGGACAGATGCGCTGCTCGTCTTTTCGATGACCGCCAAATCATCTCTTGCCGCCAACAAATGGGCTAGAGTTACATCTGGCTCGCGTCTCATAGCGTCGCGCTTTAAATTGTAACATTTGTTCAGCTCATCTTCTTTTGGCCTTATTCTTTCCGACCACTAGGTTAAATAAACAAAAAATATAAAGATAAAATATTTATAGAAAAGAAACAGTTTCCTAGTCAAAGATAATCTAAGCACCGTGAAAGATTGAACTGTAACATCCAATCGTTTCAGCAACATCTCCCTCCTTATCGTGTACTCTTCATTCATTTCGCTGTGTAGTTTATCCAACTTTTCCCATTGATCACTGTTTAGTACGCCATAGAACAAAGGCTTGCCTACAAGTTCTTTGGGAACTTGCTTCATCACATCAGCAACCTTTGTTTGCAATTTACTAAATAATACCGAAGGACTAATGTTGTCTGGAGGCTTTTGGAATCTTAAGGCGGACAGCATTTCCCTCATGCACTTTGCAGTTATACTTTCGCTCTGCAATGTCAACATGTTGGATTAAAAAAAAAAATACATCTACAACTGCTGATAAGATTAGAGATACATATTAACATACAATCGTGATTTGTACAGCCTTTTTGTCCTTTTCTTTTTTTGTTTCCGAAATTTTACATGCCATAAGTTCGCTTATCAAGTACTCGATGAGCATTAATCTTTCATCAATGTTCGCCAATCGCTGATTGACATTGCCTGTGGTCAGTTTCACGTTTATGCAACCCAGCTCTTTGAGATACGTGCTCAACTCCAGCAGAAAGTGACTAGAATCCTCTGGGGTAGATGTTGGCTGTACAGTTTCATCGATTTTGCTAAAAGATCCAATCTGATCAGTCAACCAAGAGATAAGTTTTGTAAATGCTGGTGACTTTGCGCCTGTTTGCAACGCTTCGGTGAACTTTGCAGAGTCGAGCAGTGGTCCGGTGTACCTTAAAATAACAATCATACAATGATGATTCATGCTTGCAATCTTATAATGAATCTCTAATTTTATGAACCATATCCTCATCAGTATAGGTGATTGCATTAGTTTACGAAATTAAAATGTCAAAAAAAAGCTCTAGAAGGCTAAACTTACTTAACCTTACAAAACTCACCCGACATCGGTTAATCCCTGCACCACAGCTTCCGTGTCCATGGCTTAATCTAGAAAATCTTGACACTCAGTGGAACATTTATTTCATTTGAAAAATGAGTCGAAACTTTTTACTCAATCAGACGGAGTCAATTACTCCAACTTATTAAAAAAAACAATAGAAAAAATTATATAGCCAACGGGAGCAGAGAGAGTAAGACCGGTCGCGACATCTACATAAAAACGCAGAAAACTCAAAACTTATAAAAGTGCACAAAAGCGCGCACGCATAACGCATAAGTTGCAAAGCAGACAGTTTCTATTTCTTTTATAAATTTGTAAATGAAATAGAATGTAACAAGTATACTTAAGTATAGTTTATAATTGTTACATCGTTACGTGGAATCGTGGGAAAGAGATCTGTTAAAAAACAAATATATTTATATATATATATTTACTTTGAATTTTATCATTCTGGTAAAGAGAGCATGGTGTAAAATGTACGTGAAGTTATGTGTAGTAACTATAGTAATCCCAATCACTTTTCAGTAGTGCCATATGGGCGATTTCATTAAACCATATATACAAGTAGAACATCTATACTTTCAGAGGTCAATTTTCAGATAGAATATAAGTTGTAAGCTTGCCGCAAACAGCACATCATTGTCAAATTTTAATTTTATATCTATACGAGTAGTAGCGGCTGGTTTATAATTAATTACATAGCTCTACTGTAAGTAAAAGAAATAATTATTTGGATCAGCGCCATCTAGCGTTGCGGATTTCTGAACTAAAAAGTGGCCCTAAACTTTTGAACCAGAGCTTCAGCGCTTGGAGCCATTTAACCTATTATAAACCAGCCGCAACTCATTTTTTAGCTATAAAATAAAAAAATAATTATACATGTGTTTTTGGCGGCAAGTTAACAATCTATTTTCTACCAACAAATTGACCTCCTATGTGTTTATACTTTTAAAGATGAATTTTCAAGCATAAGATAGATTGTTAACTTGCCGCCAAAAACACATGTATTATTATTTTTTCATTTTATAGCTTTGTCATGAGTTGCGGCTGGTTTTTAATAGGTTAAATTGCTCCAATCCCGAATGCTCTGATTGAGAATTTTAGGAGCCACTTTTGGCCAAAAAATAAAGACCGCTAGATGGCGTTGTTCAAAAAAATTATTACTACTTATTACAGTAGTGTCATATAATTAATTATAAACCAGCCGCAACTAATATCATATGTATAAAATAAAAAGTCGATCTTGTTTGTGCTGTTTGCGGCAAGTTTAAAATTTATATTCTACCTGAAAATTGACCTCTGAAAGTATAGATGTTCTACTTGTATGGTTTAATAAAACGCCCATATGGCTCTATACTTAGAACTGTTTCGCATCACCTACGTAACTTCACTGCTGGGCAGCATTTGCGGAATACAGCCGAAAACGATGTAACAGGCTGTACTTAAGTAGATAAAATAGAAACCTTCTAGTTTGCAACTCGCTGTATACGTCCCTACGTGTTTTTGACGTTTTTGTGCACTCGCACTTGTTCTTGTGTGTGCTTATATGCGTTTTTCCAGATATCCAGATTCCAGATGTCGCGCACTCTTATCATTGTGTATGTGTGTTGCTGCAGAAGTTGCTCTCGTGTGTGTTGCGTACATGACGGACACGTCAGGTCGGGGGCAAGCGGGGCAACTATGGTGTGTGGTAGCTTTCGGATTTAGATCACTACACCGTGTTTAACTTACCCTGAATCGAATGGTTCTTTTTTTATTTTGTTATGAAATACATAATTTGCATACACGTAGAAAAAAAGGAATGCACGTCTTATCGAAATCCATGCTTACAATTAGTTTCTTCTACTTTTTTCGCCTCACTTCGCAGATTCAGAAATAGAACTTTCTCGTGTAGGTAATTAACTAAGGGTATACTCTATTTTAGGCAATTAAAAATCAAAATAACCAAGTATGTACGTATAAGTGTATTATAATTACTTCGAGCGCTCTCACACTCTATATATTTTTTTTATGAATGAATTGAAACAAGATCATACGTCACGGGCACGATCTCTCTCACGTGCACAGACATTAATTCATTAATTATACACACGAAAATATATAATTATGTTATGCCCGTGCCCGCATTTAAGTGCTTTCGTAATGGCTCTCTGGTGCTGAAGGGAAAATCGGGGGCAAGTTTACTTTCGACCAGGGGGTAAATTGGAAAAAAAATTGCTGATCAACGATTTAAAGATTCAACCCTGTATCTAGGAGTAGTTCAGCAAATCACGTACGAACCGATGTTGCTTTGACGAACAGTGAAAAAGTTCAAAACTAAACTATAGAGGAAAAAAAAAGAAAAATTTGTGCTCTTGCGAGTCTGCCCCGTATTCCCCCACGTAATTGCGCCCCCTCCCCCTATCTTCTGCTCTTCGTGTCTCTTTGCAGCGCGTTGATTGGCTGGACCGTGACGGCGTCGACGGCGGCAAACGGCGGCTCGAGATCTATAGCTAGCGTGTGTCCAACGCGTCCATCACCGTCGCTCGCCACCACCAGGAGTTGGAGTTTACACGTACGCGCACCAACACAGAGGCAACGATTCACTGAAATACAAGCGCCGCGGCGCGGCGTGCTCGATCGAGCGAGCGCTCGCCTCTGTGAAAGACGTGTTTACGGTGTTATACTCTTGATAAGCAGATAATATGTAATAGTGCACTTTGTTCGTGCGTGGGTTATACATTTTTCCTAGGAAGAACAAGTGTCGAGTGTGTGTGGGTGACAATTGCGGTTTTGATACAAACCGAGTGATTTTTGTTTACTTTTTGCCTTTTGTCCCGACTCTTTTTTTTACATTTGTAATATCGTAATACGACGTTTGCAGCCAGTGACGAGAGGTGAGAGGTTTTTTTTTTTTTTTTCGTATTCACATAACGGAGCCTTGTTTCCTTCCTGTATACTCATACATGGGCATTCGTGTCATCATAATCATCATATGTGTTCGCTGTAAGCATAATTTAATTAATACTCTTTCGCAGTTCCTCGGAATATGTACAATACGTAGTGAACACCCGAGCATCAGCAGAACGGACAAGAGAGGACAAAGCAATAAGGAGAGGGAGAGAAGGAATGGGGTTGTTGTGAAGTTGATCATAAAAGGGGCGCGTTGAGCGACTGAAGTGCCTACTCTGTCCTATGAATTAGACCCACGTTGCTGCTGCGCTGCACTAGGAGCACAAGCGTCTGTCCATCCGGAAGTGCTAAATCTTTGCAAGCTTGTTATTTACGGACAACATGCCCGGAAAGAAGAAGAAATACAACGCCCGTTTTCCAGCGGTAAGTACTTTTCCTTTTTCATGTCAATAAAACATGAATTTATTCTATATCTTACGGCATGGTTCGTAACAGTTTGAGCGCGCCTTTTTTTTATTCTTAGGATTACGCTGACGGACGCGAAGAGACGAGGCTTTTGTCGGAGCATCTATGTAGCTTTTTTGTTTTGTTCATGTAATACTTAATCATTTACGATGCTGCTGACCAACGTTATACGTACACATTGCTCGCCTGTTCGCGTCGTCGCGCGAGTGCCTTGAAACTTTCATGTTGCAATAGCAATACCCACTTATTTGCATGTGGCTAGTGTGAAACGTAATTTATAAAGAAGAAAAAGAAAGAAAAAATTGCACATCATTAACCTCACTTTTGCTTCTCATGTCTTGTGTTCGCAGGGTCGCATTAAAAAGATCATGCAAACGGACGAGGAAGTAGGAAAGGTTGCGCAGGCTGTGCCGATCATAATTTATATCCTTTTTTTCCCCAAACAATAAGATGAACAACTTTTTCTACAAACGCGCGTGCATGTACAGTCGATCTGACGTGCAGTGCATTGTGAGTCTTATCAATCTTGCGTATTTTTTGATGACCGCATAGATTAAACTTTCGGAGCAGTTGATAATATTGTATTATATGTAAAATGTCTCTGTGTGTGTATAAAGAGAAGGGTGAGAGAGAATCGAGTGTTTTGGGGGGAGGTTATATCTATATCCTTACGTCGCGTATATTATAACGTAACTCGTAGGTGAGTAGATTGTTGTAACAGCATTTATGTGGAGTAACATTTTTGAAAGGGAAGGGAGAAGTGGAGCAGGGCATTTAAAAAATCGAATCGTGTGCCTTGCTCTTGCCGTTGCGTGTTGCTTTTGGCTCTTTTTACTTTCACACAGCTGGTAAATTCTTGAGGATACTTTCAAATTCTTTTGAATGGGTATAAGTTAGCGTGGGTCGTAGGCATTTTGGGGATTAGTATGGGTAATTGCGCGAAAAAAATATTAAAGTTTTGCTAGTAATTCAACTCTAAATTGTTGACATGTTGGAAAAAGTTGTAGTACAAGTCATTATTTTAACATATTTAATATTTAATGTACCCATGTTTATATTATGTACAAGAAGTTTCCTTAACCACTTCTATACCTAGAACATTGGAGATGTTTGTTCATCAATTGCTTACCAAAACAGTTCATATTACAAACACCAAGCAAGCAAAGACCTTAAGTCCTTCGCACATGTTAGTATTGGTTGTTATCTACTTATATCCTTGCATATAAATCCAATATCGTTATTAAAAATGTTATCTCACCATTATTTTCAGGAAACAATGTATTTTCTCAGAGGCTCGTTTTGACTTCCTAAGGGATATCGTCAAAAATGTACCTGATGCCACTGGGTCAGATGAAAATGTATATTTGGTAGCAGCAGCAGCAGCAGCAGCAGCACCCATCATGCTTCCTCCTCCTCAACCATATCCACACAGTATAACCAGCACTGCAGCAGTTGCTCCCAAGACTTCTACTGTTGTATCATCAAAGTAAGTGTTTTTCAGTTGTAAAGTTATTCCATCAATCTAATTATTACTTATTAATCGAATTGTATTTGTCTCTTAGTGTTCCCAAAGATGGTTCATCTTGTGCACAAATACCAGTGAAATTGCGCTCAGTTGAAGGAGATAAAACCAAACTTGCTGAACCAGCTGAGGGTAACAAGACAGTATTTACATGTGATGTCCCAAAGTCAATAACTTCATCTGTGCCTACAACATTTAATGCTAGCCAACCAAATTTCTACACAGAATTAAATAGCAGTAGTTCAAGTGATTACGTTCCAAAATTCTCATACAGCCAGTCCGTGTCGAATTTATCTTGTACTGCCAATATTGATGAAGATAATGATACGTAGCAAATCAATCCTCAAGTTATTAAACTGTAGTATTACAGTGTATGTGCTCTACAGCTATGTTTTAGGATCAACTGAAAAACCAACTAGTTCTTCAATAATCTCAAAACTTTGAAAAAAGTATATATAGATCTTCATTGTGAACATACAATGAATGGTAAATTTTTCAATAGATATTACGATTATTGTAAAATTAAAAGGAATGATTCAACAATTTGTAAGAATCACTGAAACATGCGAACTTGATAGTTAATTTTTCTTCTTATTTTCATTGTATGAATAAGTATTTGAAAATTTATTTAAGTCTGTAATAAGCAATAAGACTGCTATATCTTATTTTTGTAAAACTTAAATTATTAATAACTGTATTTGAATAAATAGAATTGCATATTTTCTTTATTCTTTATCATAAGTTTATAATGTATTAAGATCAAAGGTCTTTTTTATTTCATTTTATATTTCAAACTTAAAGAAACTATAATTTACTATAAAATTTGCGTTTTGTGCTATTGAAAAAATAATTTTCATTTTCTTTTCGTTCAAGTCAAGCTTCTAGTGCGGATTTACTTTTAATCAACAATGTGCATAATGCATTGTCTTTTTTTACATATTATTTAGAAGTTCGGCCATACTGTTGCTTTTCAAACTACTAGTTACATAATTCACTCTAATTGTGTCGAATAACGTGTTCAAAATAAAATAGAAACGATTGAATGTATACAAGTAACAATTTTTATTATTTATTCCAAAAATAAGCCACTTTTCTTGGGAAATCAAATAAAGGTGTATTTTGTAGTGTATGAGAGTAAACAAACTATTTATTATTTTCAGTATAAATTTCTCTAAATATATATTTACAATTATAAATTAAAGGTAATATACAATTTTAGAATTTCATCAATAACAATGATTTTGCCTCTCATTTTAATGAAAAAGAGCAAAATGTGATGTATTTTATCAAGAGTAAATGTTTTTCAAAAAATAGATGGTTCATATATTTTTACTACGAAAAGTTGTAATTGCTTTCATATTTAATTTTATTACTGAATGGAGGCTCCAGATATAATTTGCTGAATACTAAGACACTCAAGAAGTTGTAATTATGGAATTTTTCTTCCTAAAGCTATAAAAAAGTGCATTATTTATCCATAGGAATTTCTTATCGTTTTCATTCAGAATTGAACAATAATTGCTGAACCGGGAGCTCCAATTAATAAAAAACGTTATAGATACAATTTTTAAAACTTAAACTTCAAATTGGATGCAGACTAAAACCATTTATTTTTTTGACTCAAAATATTACTTCATTTTTTATTTTGCTAATAAATTTACATTGATCTAGTAATTTTTAAAAGTTACATTCTTTAAATTGATTTTTACGTATTTAACAATACTATCCGCAATAAATATTGGCAATTTGAAAAATGAAAAAATTCAACCTAATCAAGTAACTATGAGACATGGAAAATTGATAAGGCATGGTACGTGATTACAAATTTAATTTTTTTATGGTGCTTTGGTAGAGATACACACGTTTCGTAGCACCATTACAATTAATTAACGATATATATAAAAACTTTTACTACATATGGTTTGTCAAAATGCTTTTTGTACTCAATATTGATGCAACTAATGAGTCTAATATTTATTTGCACAACTGCGAGCATTGTAAGAGCTTGAGGTTCTATAAAATTGATTGTCCCACCATAGTTAAGGTTTTCTTAAACTTGTAAATAAATAATTTTTTTTTTTTTCGTAATTAATGTAAAACTTCATTTTACAATGACGATTATTGATACAAAATTACATTGTTTACATCAAATAAATTTTTCGTTTCCTACGACTCGAGGATTAATTAGCTTATCAGATTTAAATAATGCATTATTTATAATTCTTAATTTCACCTAAATTTATATTTTTAAAGAGAGCATATTACAATAGCATTTACACCTTGGCTGACTTTATTACAGAGACGGCTTCCTCGTTACTTTAAAATAGAAATCTTGCTAACCGGGATGCCTTTCAAGTACCTACAGTAAATTGCAGTTTACGTAAATCCTGCGTTTTTACCGGTACAATACATACACGTACGTGCCTACGTTTGATAAATAAGTATACGGAATGAAATTTACTTTAAAAGTAACGTAAAGGTGCCTATATTAGAGTCAGTTTTCTACGATTCCACGATAAAGCGCATCGCATTTTTCGAGCAGCCGCAGTACTGGGTTGATATTGTATGGAAACAGATCCTTGGATACTAGTCTGTCGATGGCCTGTTTCAAATTCGCGAGTACGGCCATCGTGTCGTCCAGATCCCTGCCGCAGCACGTCACGAACTCGCGCCAGCACCGTCTGACGTACTTCAAGAACCTGTAGATGTAAAGCAGAAAGCACGTCTCGTTGCTGACAAGAAAGTCGAGTAGCACATCGTGATCGTGCGACACCGCTCTGACAAATTGGATGAAGGTAAGCGCGGGGCTGAGCATATGTCCCAGATCGTTTTGCGGCGGGCCACGATAGAATAGCCCGTTGGCGACGTCCAGACAGCAGACCATACCCTCGATCAGAAAGTCGTCCTGGTCGTGGAACATTTGCACGACCCACTGCGACAGCGGCATCTCCGGATGGAAGGGCATCAGGAGCTTCACGCACTGATCCAATTGACGAAGCGTCTCGCGGATGCTGCGCTCGATCACGTCCATGTCTTCGTTGAGGTCGTCAACTTCCGAGGCCAGAGACGAGTCGCTCGAGTCACTGCGCGTCTCCTTCACTGTTACCGCCACGCTCTTCAGTATCAGTAGCACGGCCTTTTGCAAGAGAGGCTGGTCTCCATCACCAGAGCCACCGCCGAACCTACCGGATCCGTGGCGGTAGGGCAGCGAGTCCAGGAGCCTCCAGTCTTTGACTGCTCTGACGACCACGTGAGCCAAGGAGCAGGGCTCGTCGGGGAGCACGTCCTGCAACGCGAGCGTGCTGCCATAGCAGAGCACTTCGTTGAGGAGGCCCAGCAAGTGCCGCCATATGACGCCCGGCACGTTACGAGTTAACAGTAAGACTAAGTTATCTAGGTGCGAGTAAAACAGCTTCGTGTCTACGACGGAGAGATTAGCCTTGACGGAAATGATCGATTCCCAGAGCTCGAGGAACGTGAGGACAGCAGACTCGTGCTGTGGCGTGTAAGAGCTGAGAATGGCGTCGAACTTGGACACGAGAACGGTCCACTTGGATTCCAGCGCTTTAACGCACAAGGCCTTGACCGGGGTGCTATCCAGACTCTCAGCGTCCTCGAGCTGGATGGTATTGCATCCAGCTGGTGGATTCGACGTCTCGGCATCCTCGAGTGGATGTATACTGCAGTCTTTGTGCTCCACTACCGTTTTGACAACATCGAGGGTGAACAGCATTTGTGTGGGCGAGTGCGTGTTGACCAGTGATTGGGTGAGTCTTTCCAGCCAGGAACTGTCGACGTTCTCCTTGGTTATGATGAAGAAGGAGGCAAGAGCTCGACTCGCGGCGAACGATATGAACTTGTTGTTTGTGCAGGACAGATCGATTATCTGGTCGACGATTCCGTGCTCGTTGCGCGCCAGAGCCTTGCACACGTCCGCTATGCGGCTGCACATGAGGCCTCTGGTGTTTTGTTTGATGGCCACGTCGAACATGAGCTGTAACGCACTCAAGAATTCAAGGCACTTGTCTGGCTCCCACTCGGACAGTACTGTGGATCTGAATTCCCGGTCGTTGCCGTTGCCGCTGCTGATAAATGGCTTGCGCAGGCTGCTCTCCGAGACGTTGCACAAACAGTGGGACAGCAGGTTCGTTTGCAGCCGCTCGATCTCCGATGCTTCGTCGTTCTCCTCGTCGTTGTCGATCCTTTGTTTCTTTTTTGCAGGTTCCTCCATGTTTAGACTAGGAGGATTGCTGCCAGAACGTCGAAGTACCATGGGCTTTTTTTTAGCTTTCAATTCCTCAGTCAGGTTACCCTTGGCAAAAACATTTTGTCGCTGTTGGGTTGGACGTTAACTGCCCCATTGGATGCTGATGAAACGATCATAAACTTAGGTCTGAAAAGAATTTAATGAGCCATCAAGTAACACACATAAGCAGTTATATTTAGTATAAAAGCATCAACAATTTAACTCTTAGAGTTTATATAAAACTTGTATTAGCCAAACAAAAAAATTTCAATTACTTTAAAAATAAGTTATAATATCATTAAGCTTGACGATACTTTGAATAATTGAATAAAGTACAGCAGTTGCGCTTGTTTACAAACACTTGATAAAAGTGTGTGTCGAATAAACAAACGTTGCGTAAATTTATAACAATATTTGGCATTATTTACGTATCCGGCTACTGTTGAAAGTAAGAATGAGAAAATCTTGTGTTGTACATTTGAAAAACGGAAATTCCGCTCTTTTGTAGAACGAGCATCATCAAATGACCCAAACATTTCACGAGGGTGGTGAAAAAAAAATTAATCGGCCCAAAGTTAGAAAAAATTTCGGGCCGAACGCAGCCGGGGCACGAGTGATTCACCCGTGACGAGGATTTGAATCAAAATGGAGTTTTTTTCAGAAACTCCATGTTTCAGCTACTGTACTTACGCACGGTATCATCTCAGTAGCCAGACACCAGGCACGTCCCAGGGATCCAGGGCCACTTTCATCCCAAGAAAAGTCACCCGCGTGTCCTCTGGCGCCCCTCCCACGAAGATCCTTTGTGCTCCGAGTTGGTCCCGGAGGCTCCACCGCCCGGGTGCACCAGGTCAGCAAGAACCAGCAGCAGCTCTCCCCCCTAACAGCCGACCCTCTCCCACAAAGGACCACCGGTCTTCCCCAGCGGCCTCCTCTCTTCTCCGCTCTCTGCAGGCCCTCGAACCGGACCTCCCGACCACCCTTCAGTTACCGATTCCTCAACTACGTCGTCCTCAGGATGACGGACGTACACGATCGAGAATGTGTATTAAGAAGCGCGTCGGCCCGTCTCTCTCCGACACACACGCGCACACACTGCGATGGAAGATATGGCTCTGTCCTTGTCGCTCTCGCGGAGAGCATCGAGTTACGTGCCACACGGACGTCGACGCCGATTTCTTCGGAGCGCTCTTTCACTCTCTCTCTCTCCCTGCTGCGCTCTCGATCTTTTGCTCGCGTCCTGGACACCGCGACTCGTTGCACACGCACACTCACTCTCGAGGACTCTTTGATATCGTTCAATTGCACTGTAAAAACACTCGGTATCGGCCGCCCGCGCGTATGCAAGGAGGAGCAAACGAGCCGAGAGCAGTAGCCGCGCAAAGATCGGGAAGAGCACTATGTTACGTGTTGTATATACCTATGTATACTTTCACGGGCAGCTCGGCTGCATGGCCGCCTCTGATCTCCGCAGGAGCAGATGCCTGTCCCGATCCGCGGCCCGGCGGCGTTGCCAAATCTCCCGAGTCGCGGGTGCGCCACTGCTACCGTTTCCGAGGCATTTTATTTGTGAAAAACAGTCCGAACGTCGAAATCCCGTCGACACTTTGCGTCCGCGAAATAGCTTCGAACGCGAGATCGGCATAACTCTTTGGTTCGAAACGCGAGCGCAAGGCTTCGGGCAAATAGACGCCGCGTAACACGGTAGCACTTCTCGATGCATTATCCCAGAGACGATAACTTTTGGTTCAGCGCTTTCTTGGCAACGCCGCCGCGCTTTTTGGCGCACTGCGCGACATCTCGTGGATCACCGGCGAATCTGGAATCTCTTGGCTACCCGCGAAATTTGAAATCGACTTGAGATCCGTCTTTGGGGTATTTATTTTTGAAACTGATGCTGTGTTCAACACTTTGCTCACTTGATCTCTTTTCTATAGGGGAAGGATAGACACTATACACATGCGGGAGTGATCTTTGTTCGATCCAAAATCGTATTTCCTTATAAATTTCTGAATAAACTCAATTACCACGTCATGAACCGAAAAATGATTGTACATAGTATATTGCATTTTTGTATCGATATAACTACAATAAATTGTTTTTTTCCCCAAAACGAATAGCTAGCGGTTACAAAAACTGTTTCGCGGGAATTTTTACGAAAATCCGCCAACGGGCACCCATAAAGCGGCAATTGGCGAACACTGCACGATCCTCTTCAAAAGCAATTTCGAATCAATCGAACGAAAGCTCCGCGCTACCTCCCTTGGCTCTCGGGTAAATAAAAATTAACTTTTCCCAAAGCGAATCATCGATAACTTCTTCTTCTCCCTTGGCTCCGCTATATAACGGTACAAGTTTCGCTAATTGAAAGTAACACTATACCGCTACTATACACACAGCGAGCTCCGGTATCGACGGAGTTGCTCCTTTTGTATCCTCTCGAGGGCCATTATGAGATTATACAGAATCGAATCGCCAGCCAACTGTAGTAATTTGCACCGTAGCTGTTTGCGCGTAGGTTTTTAAAAATTTATCAAAACATCAAATGATAAAAATAAATGCCCTTGTGCGTATGTTTTTCAATTCATCCCCCCGGTCTTATTTTGATTAAGTTTCCCCTCCTCCTCCGCAGCAACCAACCCTCGAAGAGAGACACGTCTTACATATCTCATTTTCTTGGCCCACTGCCTCCGCCCCCCCCTTTTTTTTTTATCGTGCAGATGCTCCCCAAATAAATTTCACCACCCGACGCTGACGTCACCCAATGAACCCCGGAGAGTCCTGTCGAAAGCCGCTCGTCCAATATATCCCCTCCCCCTTCTCCTCGAGAGGGAGGTGGGGGGGGGAATATATTGGAGCTTTTTTGTGCTTTTTACATTGTTCTTCTCTGTCTCTCTGGTGCGCGGCGAGAGAGATACTGTTTAGCGAGTATAAACGCGCACGACTGGGCTGTAATGTAGCCGATCGGCCGAGAATAGCCGGAAATAACTCCGCTCCGTTTAGCTTTCTTTTATACATATGTTCCGTATACCCCCGACCCTGATGTCGCTCGCATTTCGGAGATCGCACGAATAGACTGGCTGAGCTTTCGTGCCACGGGGGAGGAATATTATACCGATGGGCTGATACAAATTATGGGATCGATGACAAGTATACTTTGCTGGTAATCTATTTTTTTTTTTTTTTTTTTTTTTTTTATACTAAAGCTTAAATAATCAGCAATGAATGTACATGGTTGAGGATAATTTTATCTTGATTCTAGCGTTTTTAACGGAGCTTTTCATCATTACCATCAATGATAAATTCATCGGACCATGGAATTGAAAAAGTGCGGGGAAAAAGAAGTTAGTTTCTTCCTCTCAAATGGCGTGTACCATTCAATGGACCCCTTCATTGGCCTCATTCAGCTACGAAATAAAAGCTCGCAAATTAAAAAAACAAATCAGCTTTACGTCTTTAGGTGCAATTAAACAAGAACGAGGATATCGTGTAGTTTTTTTTTTTTGACGCAAAGGTGAGAAATACGAAAAAAAAAAACGCGGAACGTGGTCCGAGGTAAAAGCTCTGGCACACGTGGCTATGTGCTTTTTAAGACCCTTGACCACTCACTGCTCTAAATTCACACCTCCCGTGTACGTACACATGTACGTACACCTACTTCGTTAAGAGCACGTAGTAAAGATAAGAGCGAAGAGTGGCTCCGTTCGTGCAAGCTCGTCGAGCTTTATCGTGAGATCTTGGCACTTTTTATCTTAGAATTCCCTTAGAGAGTGTACAGGTGCTGTTTATGATGTGAAAATTGAAGAACAATACAGAGCTTGCGGGGCTTAGCTGTCTGGTATAGGTAGGAGCTCCCACTTTGGAATTTAATTATTCTATTTGAACTTGAAAGAAAGAAGCTTATAATGTAAGCTGCGAGATGTAATACCGGTGGGACAACTAAGAGTAACATTTTTTTTTCCACCTCTTTCGAGTGTATAGTGTACAGTACTTGTACATGACTTACACCAAGTTTTACATAAGATTTACAGTGTAGTTAATAATACAGCGGTGGTTCAAACGGTTGAGAAAATGAATCCGCTAAAAAAAGCTTCGATATCACGACTGGGTGAGTATTTGTGAAAAAAATGAATAATTGTAATTATAATGATCGTCTTAAAAAAGACAACTTTTATAGTATGTACTTGAAATAAATTGTGTTTCGATGATATGATTTCGATGACCATATAGTATAAATACAGCCGTGACAGTTTCTTGGCTCGGTCGTGTGAAATTGAGATTCCAACTTTTTTATGCGACAATTTGTAAGTAATAGACGAGTAGGTGTACGCGGAGAGGGAGGGGGTGACAAACGGTGGGACATTTTATTCTTAGGATTCTCTTGGTATGGCACGGATACTCGAAAGCTTATAGACGACAAAAGTGGGATATTAAAAAGAAAGGAATATATATATATATATATACCGAAAGAGAGGACCACTTTTTTTTCTTTCAAGAGATACGTGTGCCCGCGTGGTGGTCAGTACACAAGAAGAAGCTTATTGTGTCTTATCTCGTCGTCTTTACCGATCAAAAAAAAAAAAAGAACCTACTCTCCAAGAGACACACCGTACACCCATCACCCCCCGCTTTTATTTCCCAGAAATAGGTGTCCACCCCGCATTAATCACGTCGGACAAAGACACGCGTCAGGCGCTTTCTCTCAAACGTCAGCCGCTGATTCCATAATCCCTGCGATTACGCGAGAGTGATATAGTCCCTCCAATCATTTTCTCCCCCGATCGGTGTACAGTATGAGGTACGTGGCAAGGCTCTGGTCTCTCATCTCCTCCCCCCTCCCTCCTCTGTCTTTCTTTGGCTCTCGTGTCCTTCGCTCGAGTTGGATTGCAAAACTTTTTCTCTCGACGACGACGCCCGACTTGCAAAGTCACGGATAGCACAAACTTTGCGGGCGAATACACGTCTTTCGATTTTACATTTTGTTCGGTTTGCAAGCGTATAAAGGGACACGGTAGAGTTTTTTCATTTTTTTTTTTTTTTTTTTTTTTTTTTTTTTAATACTAGTTTCAAACTTTTCACTATAAAATATATTTGAATTTTTCATTAGCTCGCGTTAACAAATCGGTACGAATCGAAAAGTTGAACTACCGCATCGAGCCAATCAACATTCAGAGATCACTTGGTCACTTGATTATATTCACCCAAAGATGCTATCGTCGTTTCAATTTGAATTTTAATAAAACCAGCACATCGCCAAAGATAAAAATAAATAGCTACTTGGCTAGCTGAAACGTGACCAAGATCCTTATACGTACGAGTTTGTAGTATGCGATAAAAGTTTATCGATCGCCGTTTCATCCAAGTGTACCCATATTATATACTATTGGCCACTTTACCCTCAAGTGCAATCCAAATCTTTGAAAAATTTCTCGCCAAACCCACACCCCCTCATCCTGCGTGCACCCCCATCCAACGAAACTCGCATCGATTTTTGTCTTTACAAAAACATCATACACCCAAGTAAACTGCAAATAATTTTACTTTTTCCCCCAAACACGCGTACGAAAGTCGAACCAACTATACGCAATACACACATCTCAGGAACATCCGCTTCCCCCTAAACACGCGCGCATCGAGTAACTCCAATCCTCCTCTCCGCGTATAGGTATATAATATATACACAAATGTGTATACGAAATACAATGTCCCATAAATCTCTCTTCGCCCCGTTGTGTACACGTCCTCCCCCTCCCCCCGTCACTGGATTCTTTTGTTTTTCTTTTTTCTTCCATTCCCTCCCTCCCCCCTCTGCCTTGCCGACCCGCAGATCTGTAAGGACGAACGATCGCTCTACTTCGACGTGTACCGATCCTTGCCGTCCTGCGCAAGTACACATCCAACCCCAATATCTCGAGTTTCAGTTCTCTGTATTAATTAATCCCACGCCCCCGAGCTTATACATCTTCACCCGGTTTCCCTCGATTTTCACTCACGCGCAGGCATTCCATTTTTTTCCCTCTCTCCGTTTCCCGAGTGAAAGCTCGCTCGGCTGTTTTCTCTTCAGGGGGATGGATCTCCGCGCCCCGCTCGAGCTCTCCTTTTTTTCCAGCTTTCCTTTCACCATCGGAGCTTTCAAGCAGCGAAGCTCTGCGCTCCGGCTTTTCGCGAAACGATTTTCATCCCTACTCATCTTTCGCGTCTCCATTTTATTGTCTCGTCGCTAATTGTGCGCGAGGGACAACTCGTTTTTACGCTTAACACGAAGATTCCGTTGAAACGGAGGAACAGACGGAAAAACCTGACCAAATAATTTTTCATACGGACACACTCGGGGGAACAAAGACCTATATGCTATATGATACATTGTGAAAAAAAAAGCCCATTCATCAAAATTCTTTCGAAACATAATTCATAGCGCACGCACCCGTCGACACGCTTATACGTATATATGTATCCCACTATCCGCAAGCTCATCCCTCCCCCCCCTGGAACGAAGGTGCAAAGCTTATTCCCTCCACCACCCATGTTAATATAATATCATGTATGTGTGTCCATGTAGGAGTGGAGCTCTTGAAAAACTACTCTCGGCTCTACGCGCACACGCACGAAACTCCCCGTGGACCATTGCCCCGCTCTTTCTCTCTACGTATACACATCGATTCTCTGAAAAATCACGAGATAGGGGGAAACAAAGGCAATCGATACGGTCATCCCAAGTAAAAGAGTGGCGTCCGAGATATATATATGTACATACACCACGCATGCATAACATCTCGTTTTTACTCTTTCGGTAAGAAGTCATTGATCATTCATTAGCTCAGGATGAAATTACAATGTTAACTTGAAATGCAACCGAAAGCTCTCAAAGCGAGCTTTCATTTTGAGACGCGTTGGTTGACGTTACACGTTAGCATATGGGTTATTGTTCACCCATGGGACGTTAATTGTCAAGCTTGAAAGATATCCCCCCCGTATTTTTCAAAGACTCGCGCGTATGGAGGACGAAGTTCACTCTCCCATACACCGTCAGTGGCACGAGCAGTAGGTTTACACAGGAACCCAACGCAGATCGGAGAGAAAGCCACGAGGTGGTGCGACGGGGGGGGGGGAGGGAGAGCTTTCTGCGTGCAGGGGGGGGGCTATACATCCGCGCACGCCGAAGCTCACTTAGTCGTCGCTTCGATGCGGCACGAGCGACTACTCGTTACGGCGCTCCGCGTACCATAAATCGTTGGGCCCGACGTGGTATATAACGCCGTCGCGAGTACGTGTATACTTGTACCGGAATAAGTTTGAACAATGTAAGAGGAAGAATAATGATGCCCGTGCTCGGTTTACATACGCGGCGCACGTGTACTGCACAGTAGAGTGCGCGCTTCCCACCGAAAGCTCTTTGCTGAAAGCTCCGAGTGTCACAGGTAAATTGATCATCAAAGCTTGTTGCAGTTGGCGCGTTTTTGCGCTATACTCCCTCCGACCCCCCTCGTAGCTACTCGGTTGATTGGTCAATCGATTGCTTGGCCGTTCTGATAATCGAGCAATCACCGGAGCTTAAAGGTGAATCGCGAAGCGACGCGCCACCGTTGGAAACAATAGACCGACTGGTTCTGACTCTGGGCCCTCGGTTTCTTGGGCAGTTGGTTGCCCGTGTTACTACCTGGATGGGCACGTTTTGTTGCTTTGTTGTTGTTTTTTTTTTGTTTCTCTATTGCGCTACACATCCGGTGAAAAGTCGAGACAAGAGCTTTTTTCTTTTGTTGCGCTCGAGTACGCGTACGCGTCGCGTTAAAGTACTTTTGGATGAGTTTTCAGGTGTGGAATTACAGGTTGCGACGAGAGGACTAGTTTGCGTTTGACGAATGGTTGGTTGGACGAGATAATTGAGTGGGAGTCGAGAGGAGCTTTTCGCGGATCAGCCAAAAAACCCGAGTTTGATTAATTATCGGCATCTACGTAGTGCCCGTTGCCGTATCGTCGATTATTTTGGCAACTCTGTTTGCTCGGCTTTGTTTTTCGTTGTTACACTACCGTTAATCTACGTTCATTGTATCGCGTTTCGCAAGAAAATTCCAAGAGATGCCAAAAAGCTCGGGCAGCCTTTGTAATTGACAATGGAAATTTTATTTCACATTAACAAAAATACGACGCGTCGTTTGACTTGATTAATTTTTTTGCCAGTCAAAGCCGATACACCTGCGCTGGTTAATTAGGGACGAAACGCGCAATTTTAATTGATACCTCGAAATGAGTTTGTTATTGGGTATAAAACATGATTGTCGTGCGCCCGATGATGATATAACAGCAGGGGGGAGTGGGAGGCGTATACGCGTTAATTAAATTTCACGGAACAGAGAAAGTTGGCGTTATTGTACGGTATGTTTCGCGACGAATAATACAATACGTAGGGAGTGACACGATGTTCGAGAGCTTAATTGAGCTTGCGATGCACAGTGTGGAGCACACGGAGGAAATAAAAATACCCATTAAATTTCACGAGTATATGTACGAGCGGGCCTTTTGACGCAAACGTGCTTTCATTAAATTTTCAGCCGCCTTAATCGGAGGGAAGATACCGTGGAGCTAGAACGAGCAAACAAGAAAAACGAGTTCGCTTAAATTGTAAAGGCAAGTACAATCGAAACGAAGCCTCCATCTCCGGAAATCCCGATGTTAATTAATTAAAGCTCGTCGAGCTTTTTACAACGCACCCACCGCCCCGCATTGATCCACGTGAAAGTCAGCATTACAAGCATTCGGCCGCGTTCCCCTTCGGGTGTACACACCGGCCGTCCATTGTGCTCGGCTTCCGATCGAGAGCCCCTTTGCTCGGGACAAATTATTCCGGGTCGCCGAGCAATTTCGCAACCAAACGCAGTCCATTTTAGGTAAGGGTTTCCCCCCATGTTTCAGGATGCTTGGCTCCCTCGAGAGACGTTTCTCGGGACAACTTCTCGGCACGGCTGAACCGATCGAAACTCGAGTGCTTAGGCTGGACTGGCACCTATTCCAATATTCTTGAGGCCATCCTGCGGCTACTTTTTTTTCTTTCGTTGGTACATATTGTACGTTGGGTGTTATTGTTTTTCAATTTATAACGATGATGCGGAAAATGTATGTTATTACGCGCACATCAGCCGTGAACGCGTGGGGTATGGACGGGAGGGTGGTTGAAAAAGGGCAAACTTGGAAATCTTCGGAAAGTCGATCGCGCGGAAGTGTGCATTATTCATGGGTCATGATTGGGAAAACTTTGGTCGCTTTGAATATAATACGTCTCGAGGAGAAAACCCGCGAGAGGACTCGCTATGTGTTGCCTCGGGACACGTAGGGCATCTGTACACACTATCGCGCACACGAGGGTATAAGGAGTTTTTTTCAATAACGTACCCACTCGTGGTATTGAATTTCGACGAGACGTCCGTGGTACGGTTTTATTTTTACGATCAATCTTGATGTGTTTGTTACGCAGTTCTATTTTTTTAGATTTTTGTTATCGCAACCATTAACCTACTGGATAGTTTTTCTATTTTCTTGAAATCCACCGTTTTCTTATAGTGCAACGTTTTGTTCGTTTTTTTTTTCTCGTACCAATTGCAACACAATGCATTACAATACGAATAAAAAATAGTCAAAGTATAGTTAATATTTGATTTTTAAATACCTAAGGTCTTTTGCGCTTATACAGCAGGAAAAAAAAATTCTCAGTATTTTATTACAAATATGTATATGAATAAAAATTTAAAGTAAAAAATGTACTTTTCGTTCAGGAAGAGACATTTTTTTCAAAGTATTTAAAAATTCAATTGTGCCAAAGTCAGCGTATAATCACCAAAAGTTTCCTACATAGTAACAGAGTAACACTTGCCTCGGTACATTTAATCTTGCAAGTAATACGACGGAAAATATGAGCTGCTAGTCTAAGGTGTAAGCAGTTTAGCATGCCCTCGCTAGCGAAAAAATATTTTAACAATTTTTCGATACAATTTTATAGGTAACGGATTACGAAAATCCCCCGGAGAATATAGAACCTCGAGCGCGAAAATATATGTATGAAAATATAGTGCTAATGCATCACGCGTTTTTTTATTTTAAGGGGCTGTTTGACTGACAAAAGAAAATCGGTTAAAAATACACAAAAGTCTCGATCCTCAGTGAGAGCGCTTTCAGAGCTTTTGTTTTATTTTGTGCTTTTCAAACGAGTAAAACAAACTAAATTTCACCCGTCAACTTTTGTTAAACGAGTGTTTCCCACAAAAGCGTCCATATACACTCGAAAGAGCTCTTCGCTCGCGGCTTTGATCTCCTGAATTGAAAAAAAAACAAAAAAAAAAAACAATCGCTCCTCAGAGACAACGAAAACAAGGGTAAACCTGTACAGCCTATAAAAAGCCACTTAACGAATCGAAGAAAAAAAACCTGAAACCCAAATATTCCCGCTCGTTCAACCGGTGTTGACGCATCAATCAAAGTGTCCTCGAAACAACGGCTCGTTCTCGAGTAAAATGGCACTCAAACGGCACGAAAATCCGTGTGCCAAAACACATTAATCCAAAAACACACAATCACTCTGATGCCCCCGAAAAGTGCACGTCAACCCGTCAAACGTCCCTTTACCGCCCCATTGTTGGTCCAACGTAATTAGCCCAGCGAGCACATAATATACCGACTCCGAGAATAGCCCCTTCGGTTGATCCAAACGCCTTATTTACCCCGGCACAACAATGGTCCGTACCACTCGCTCAAATTGACCCCCTCCGTGTACTCCTGTACATCTCGCCTGCGTCACGGGCAAAAAAAGGAGAAGGAAAAAAAAAGCTCGCGCGCACCAAAGCTTCTTTGTTCCACTATTGTATATCTCTTTCGCTCCACGGGTCATTGTATTTTTAACCCACTCCAACACCACCGTTGAGATGGATACGTGCGTCGAAAAATTAGGCTTTCTCTCTCTCTCTCTCTCTCGCGCGTGCGGATAAAAGCAGCAGCGACTACTTGTTGCGCTCCGAAATGCTGTCGTGTGCACCCGTACAAAGCTCGGATGGGAATAAAAGCTCCAGATATACATACATATACGCTCGAGCAAAAGTTCACAAACGTTGAACTGTAGATCGCTCGAGAGGGGGATTGTTACCTTTGTAAGGGATTTATCTGGTATCGTTGGGTCTAGCAACTTTTCATCCGATCGTCGCAAGCTCCGCCGTGTAATTACGAGCCGCGTATCGATACGGCTCCCGCCGTAGCTTGGGCTTAAAAATACCTCCTTTCTCCCTCCAGCTGAACTACGTACAACACCGCAATGAAATTTCAGTTCCCACGCGCGTAAAGGGGCTTTCTTTTTTTTCATTCTCCTCGGATCGGGTTTTTATATTTAGCCATCGCGCGATGTGCCTTTCCCGCGGTTTCCGGATTTTTTTTTTTACTTCCNTTTTTTTTTTTTTTTTTTTTTTTTTTTTTTTTTTTTTTTTTTTTTTTTTTTTTTTTTTTATCACCCGACTCTGTGTAACCTCATCAGCATTCCTCCCGCGGGCCTTTTTTTTACGCGTTGTATCACGTTGCATAACATTGTGGCGGTGTACAAAAGTCGCGCGTTGCACGTTGTGATGCAAATGTTTGCCATGCGTGAGCTCATGGGTGCGACGTTTAATTTGTCTGAAAGAAAAAAAAGTACCCTCCACTCGTGGTATACTTTAAAATTAGTTCGGTTGCAGGGGAGTTCGGGTGGGCCGAGGAGGCGGGCGCTGTTGTTGATTGTTTGTCGATGATCCGGCAACAGTTTGACAGCTCGAGGGAAGATCGATGGGCGTTGTGGCGTGTGAGAAAACGCATTGGAATTCAAGAATGTTACCAAGAAGGACCTTCGTCGGGTCATGTATTTTTGTTAGGTTCGAAGAAGCGCGTTCATTTGATATTTGTGTACGTATTTTGGAGTGAGGGGCAAGTGCGCCACGTCGGAAAGACTCGTACACGAGAGTGAGCTTTCGACGAGATGGCCGGTGATCAATTGGTTTAAAATTGAAAGGAAAAGAAGAATAAAAAGGCTACAAGTATTTTTTTTCAATTTTAAATCAAGTCGCGACTCGAAACAATCGTGTCGCGTGTTTAAGTCCCGTTGACTATGGAACAAAAGAAAACAAAATCTTTCGACGCGGCGAACAGGCCTTTGATACGCGATGAAAGCTCCACAATAAGCTTCTTACACGCTACACACGGAATTTCTCGGTGACGAGTGCACTTTGGCTAATGGGATTGGATGGCTGGGCGCATCGACAGTTCCTCCACGTCCAACGGCATCCGCGTGATTGACCTCGTATTTTCGAAGCCACGGAGTTTTAAAAGCTCGCCCGCCAACGGATGGAAAAAATGTTATTCCGTGGGCTTCTCGTCGTGATGGGCGATGTCTTGCAATAAGAGAAAAAAAAAGAAAAAAAATCCCCGAGTCTTTGTACGGGACGGATAAACTCTGTGGCAACAAAAGCACCTGTTGTCGAGTTTACACTCGGCTGGACCTCAAAGCTCGCTTTCGCCCTAGAGGTAAAGAACACGTCGAGCGTAAAAGCTCGGGGGGGAGAAAGCGGGAACATCTCATTAGCCGCGTTCGCTCTTATTTCTGGCGGGTAGCCCACGTACGCGCCCACCGAGACAACGGAGCACCGAAGCGACCTTGGGGCGTCTGTACGGGGATGTCCATCATTATTACTATAATTATTGTTACCGCTGCCAAAGAGTGAAAGCTCGCGCTGACTCGCGGACGTTTGTTTGCTAATTGAGTTATGGGCTTTTAAGCTGATGATTTAAACGACGCTTTTTGCTTTCGCCCATAGATATATACACACACATATACGTACACCGGGGTTGACTCAATTAAGCTGAATCGACTCCGGATGCGGGCAAGTGCTCGGCTTTTTTTTTTTTTTTTTTCACCTTCCAAGCACTCGTCTTTCGGTACTTTTGGAGTGTTGAGCAAACGCAAATGCTGATTACTTTGGACGTGGGTGGGTGGGTGTCTCTTTTTTTTTTTAAATTTTATTTCAACGCGGGTGGAGCCGTTCGTTAATTAAATTCGTTGTTTCGCTCGAAGCGCGGACTTTTGTTGGAATAAAATTTAATTAAATATAAAAACGTCTCTAAGCATAGCTCACTCTTTTGATGAAGAGTGGGAGAAATTTAATTCAATTTTCTGTGAATAAAAAAAAAAAAAATGTTTTTTAATTCGTCATGAGCTGGGGACACGTAAAAAGAAAGATCTTTGTAAAAGAATCCAAGAAACTCAAGAGCGGCTATTCCCAGCAGGTCGTAAATTTCAGTAGTAACGCCCCGTAATTGTCAGCCGGTGTGTGTATATATCCGGCGTGAAGCATCGCTCGGAGCTGCCTATAATACATAAACCCTCGTTCAAGCACCCATCCACGACAGTACAAGGGGGGGGGGGCTGTGAAAGAAGACGATACGCTAATTGATAAAGTTACTGCGGGTCAACACGACGTTGATAGAGTCGAGCTTGCAGCAATGGGCGGCTTGGTACAAAAATTTTCTGCAACGAATCTTTCTCGTCGAGGTATACTTATGCGTAACTCCATCACAGTGTGGACAAGTAATTTCTTTCTTCGGAGTAAAAAAAAAAAACAAAAAAACAGTTACGGGGCGTGAGAAGCTCTTGCAATTGTTTCTCGGCTCTTTGGATGAGGCATTCCTCGCGTCCACTCGTCCGAGGATGAAACGAGAGACACCTACCCGCGTGGGTGGGTCTTTGAAAATGTTCCGTCGCTTAACCCTGGCAGCCTTGAAACCGCAAGCCCCGGGAAAATGTTTCCATTTCGAGAGACTCGCAAACACAGTGGGAGCGGGGAGAGAAAGTTTACGACGAGCACGTGACGCGCGCGTAACATTGTGCAATGCAAGTCCAATTTTCGTCCTCGGAGCTTTCATAGCTCGGGAACGCGACTTACGTAACTCTTTTCGCCTGTACGCGGGTACACGCGCAGTAAACTCTAAAGGTGACGGGAACGACGCATCGGTATCATCTCGAGCCGCCGTCAAACAAGAGCTCAACCGGCGTATCCTTCGCGAGCCACCGATCGCGCAATAATTCACGCGTTGCAGCGAGATTTCCAAGAACCGCGGGCGAACGACGCGAGTAAATGCGCCGAGGAATATTATTCGCTCGGACGGGCAAAGCTAAGGGTAAATATGAGTTGCACTGGGGCATACGACGAGAACGGTATTTACCTGGCGATGGCACAGATGGGGCTGGGGCCAAATAAATGTATACCTACCCCGCGTAGCATTTTTCTCTCTTCCGCGGTATGCGCGTAGCCTCGCTTGGTATTTCACGACAATAGGTGATGGGTCCAGGGGGGGGGGGTACCCCGCCTTTGTCCGAGGTGCTCGCAGGTATCGAGCCAAAAGCTAATTTCGGGGGGAAAAGTTTAACCGTATCTTGATCGAGTCGAGGTTTTCGCAGCGTTTGCCCCCCGATAAGCCAAAGATCGATCTCTGCCCGAGCCATTTATACATTCACTGTTGCATTTTTCAACGAGTCGTTGCAACGAGCTGTATACTAACTCGAAGGGTGGGAGACGGCCTTTATCTATATTTCAAAGGTGTACACTCGGTAGAGGCTTCACAGAGGGTGCCATTGTGGGTCCAATGTACCAAAAGGACGCGTGCCTTTGGAGAAGATCCACACGGACAGAGGAATGCATTTCAGACCCTTCGAGCTTCTATTTTCGAAACTCGATATTGCGCGTTTTGTGTGTCGGACGGTCGAAAAAAGTTGTCAGGGTCGCGCGACTTTCTCTACGTTGCGATCTCGGGTGGGATGGACAAGTGCCAAATGTAGGGGAATTCCAATTGTTGCGTTCTCGAGTTCTATACGTTCGCATATCTATGATTCAATAGCATCGTTGCAAAATATATGTAGGGGCGAGGGAAAATGGCAAAAGCGTATCTTGGAAATCCGTGAAATTCGTTTGAATCGTTTAATGCGGGCCTCGATTTCGGCACCGATCGACAAAATCGTAAATTCCGTTTGTCAAAACACCCTTGAACTCGCGTTAACCACAAATCACAATTATTGATCGTAAATCACGCGCTTTTCGGATATAAATCCAAAGCGAAGGCTCTAAACATTCCGATTAAATTTATTGGGCGGTATTTTTAATTGCCCAACGCTCCCGAGTCACCCGCCCAAAGTTTACAAAGAAAAGAAAAAGATGCCGAGACACATTATTGTTTATTTTTTCTCTTGGCTTTCGACTAATGTTTTCACACAATCAAATAACGTTGTGCAATGCGCCTCGTTAACCCTGTCCTATATATCTTAATCTTCCGATAGCTCGCGCGCCACATCCACACGGAGCCATGGAAAAGCTCGGCTACGGCGTCACGGCAGTTTGAAGGGAGTCCCGATAGCGACTCATCGTTACCCCTCGATGAGGGCGAGGAGGGGCAGGTGCCAATGGGAGTCGGTAGCAACGATATCAGCAGCAGCCGAGGCAGAGAGCTGAGGCGAATGGGGGAGGAGGGAGATTTCTGAGGCCCCCCCCCACGATTTAACCATCAGCGGTGCCGCAGAGATGCCGAACAGGATGAAGGCCATCTACTCCCAGGTATACACAAACACGATACAGCGATATCTTGGTCGCGCGGGTGTCGTGAAAGTGTCCGATACACTTTTAGTTTTATTTGTTTTTTTCCTTCATTCGATTGGGTCGATTATGATTGCTTTACATTGCGGTACGCATCTTTCTAAAGTGCCATTTTTTTTCTTTCAATGCGCAAAATGATACCTCTCGGAAACACAGGTACGAACATCTTGAAAATCTTAGCAGCTTACACTTTCCGATACTTTTCTCAACTCAGCTGTAAGAAGAGTAGATTCCGGTATTCAGCTCACGTGCCCCTGATGCACCCTCGACCTTTGACTAGCAAGCTCTCGAAACGAGAAAAAAGAAGAAAAACTAATGGTGTGCTCGTAGGTGGTGTTTGAGCGTCGAATGCTGCTCGGCTGTACGGTCCTCGTTGGGCTGTCGATATGCCTGTGGGGAGTGGCGATCGGCACGAACCATTGGCTCGAGGCTCGGGTGCCAGAGGACGGCCGGCAGATCGTCGTCGAGGAGATCGGCGTTCACCGGAAGATCTTCCAGGCCGGGAACTCGGGACTCTTTCGCGTCTGCACGAGGGGCTTCCGCCAGGAGAACGTCAACGCGAGCGTCAGGCCTTACCGTAAGTGTGCGCCCTACTCTAAAGAGGTACATTGTGCGAGTCGATGAAAATCGGTGGAAGATCGGTAATCTAGTGGATTTTTGGAATATTTTACAGACTCTGGTCGATCGATCCAAGTTGTATCTTTTTTCATCGACACATCAGGGGCTTTTTTTTATGAAACCCTGGGCTGCGCTTGTTACTTTACGCGTGGGTTGAGCTCTTTTTTTTTACGACAGCGTTACACATACCTCCCCCGTCTCGGTTTTATTGTTCGATCGGACGAATGGATTTTTTTATTTCAGCTGTCCCTTCCAAAGAATGGTTGTCGGGAAAATTGGAAAAAGTTCCTGCGCCGCGTTGTTCCAGTTTCGGATGCGCCAAATAAATTGAAACTTGCCTTCAAAGTGCAATAATAATAATTTGTACACGCGCATTTGATGCACACGTCACGGGCTTGTAACATATTCGGCTAATGAGCGATTTCGTTGCGCAAATTATTACGATTGTATCGGACATTGAATAATTTTAATGTAGGTCAGTTAGTCATGGAGGAAAAAGAAAATTTAAGGCGATACACGATATAATATACAGTGTACACGTACGAGCATATATGTATCCCCGCAGGGGCTCGTACATACGTTATCTTGTAAAGTTAACCACTCGCATAAAAAAAATGGGACAAACAGGTACGTTCCTTCGGTATAACATTGTCAACGAGTCCTCCGGACCTAAATAGGTACATTTACTCTTACGACTCACCAGTCAAAAATGATCTCAAATACATACCCTAGTTTTTCTCTTTTTTTTTTTTTCTTCATTTTACTCCCTCCACTGGTATGGGACATGTTTATACCGATGGGAATCGTCGAGAGGAAAAACTCTGCTGCATATAGTATAACACACGCATGTGTATATCCTGTACGGAGATCAAAGGCTCTTTTGCACGCGAGTCCTATGCGTACGCGCACGCTTGTCTATTTCACGGCTCGATTATTTTGGTGGCGCCTCGACGCGCGTGTAACACGACGCCCGACTGACCCATTCTCGCAAGTTGAGCCCATGAAAATTCGTGCGATCCCAAACACGCGCTCATATGTGTATAACGAAGACGAGAGAGTGTTTTATCGTATTCATGATGTATGGGATACATTGCACGCGCGTGACGACGGCGTTTGGGGGATACTTGAGTAATTCGTGCATACCAGAGGACGCGTTGATGGATGGGGTAGTTTTTTTTTGTTCACAGTGGCGGTATATTGCTTGGGGGACAAAAATTCACGACGCGCAACAGCCGAATCGTTTCGTGCTCGCGTGTAATGAATGCACACGGAGGTCCTTTTATATACGCGTGGGCATCGGTATACCATCAGGGGGATGTTTGTTGATACCGATACGTCCATCCCCAATCGAGGCGTCTGTAAATAGCTTCCCCATGTTGGACTTCCACCCCATCGCACCTGCATGATTAACAAAGGGTAATGGTATATATTTGTACTCTTTATTGATTTCTCAAATTTTTGTTGGACGTTATGTTTCAGAGGGCTGCAATCAAAACGAGATGTTTCCGGTTGACGCGAAGGCCAAGCGAGAGCGGCGCACAGAGGCGGACCTTACGCTCATTAGTGAGTATATTTATAAACGTGTTTATATACATATAGGTGTACTTGCACTCGGGGATGGACCTTTTGCAAACTTTTTTAATAAATACACGAGTGGACGTCCAACTGTTTTACTACAGGTCTGCCTGTCGCCGATGAAATTCTCTATCAGTCGAACGATTTGTGCCCAGTACACAAATACCAAAGTTCGCCCGAGTGCCATTTTTTTTTGTTTCTTCTTCTTCGACATTCAGTAGCCATGTACCCGTCACGCATAACTTGGGGTGCATTTGACGCGTACGAGGTGTATTATAAATATACACGTCCGTCCGGGTTGAACGAGCGCTGCTGTAAATATCCCGCAAACAAGTAACAACAAAGCACCCATTGTAAGGAAAACACACAAACGATAATCCTTAGTTCGGCCTCTTTTGCGAAATTCGCGTGTCGGCCCGGCATTGACATTAATAACGGCGTGACGCACACGCGGCGGCTTGCACGTTTCTTCTCTCCGGGTTACCGGTATCTTCGAGCGCGTTCGAGGGGATGAGCCCCAGGTCCAAAGGGCCGATCGTTCAAAGTTACGGCACAACCTGCCGTGGAAGGGAAGGGGCTGGGGGGTTCCGTTTATTGTCCGAGGTTTACTGCCGGGGAGGTGCGTCCGGTTGTTTGTTATGACACCCGCGCAGCGGGGGATGGGGTAATTGGAAAAGCTAACAATAGGCGCCGGGGGTTTTACGGCTCCGATGTACTTACTTTTTACGCGCCCGGGACGATCGTAAACCACTCTCTCTCTACTGGGTTACTGCGGGCCATTGCCGGGAGCGGCGGGAAAAAAAAAAACGTGTTGAATAACGAAAACCCGTGGATTTCTAATATCTCTTTAGAGTGGGTGGTTTGATTGTTCAATGATTTCGCGCAGATTACTACAGGACGAACGTATCTCTCGCCATCATCGGCATGTTCATCATGGTCATGGGCTTTGGGTTTTCCATCTACACGTTCCTGAATCCTCGGTACATGTTCAAGAGGCTCGCCGGAGGCATACACTTTCTCACCTGTGAGTTTATTTTTCATCTTTAAAAATTTGGCCACTAAAGTTGTTTGGATCCATCGAGTGGACAAACATTTCTTGCCATTAGTTACCATTAGCAAATACGTTATATTGATAAACGACTATTGCCAAGTGAGCAAAGTTTGAGTTTGGAACCATTGAAATAAATAATTTCCATCCAAGGAAAGTTGCGAATAACCCATGGGTGTGTCTTTGCAGGCGCGTGCGTGATGGTGGTGATCCAGGTGCTGACGTCGATCAGGGAGCACGTGAGCAAACGGGACAACTGGATATTCCCGAGGTCGGCGGAGCTGAATTACGGTTACTCGTTTTGCCTGGCGTGGCTGGTGTTCTCCTGCAATTTGTCTGCCGGCTGTGCTTTCATGATATTCTCGAGGAAGAGGAAACGCGATCGCGCGCCCAACGACGAGTTTGCCATGGCCGACGAGCCTACCATCATTGGTCGCTGAATTCGACTCTTCGACGCGTGTGTTGTATATTTTTTTTTTTTTCACTTTGTTGTTTGAGTTTTTTTCTTTATTACTCGTTACTCCTATGTTTTCTTTTTTTTTTTTTTTTTTTTTTTTTAGGATACATGAGATGAATGAGTCTTGAGGTCTGGTTATAAAGTCTCGACTGTAGACTGTTTACAGTGCCATTTTTGTCGGTAAATTTTGACAATTAACCGAAATTGTATATTTTTTGTTCGATTCATAGCGAAGAAATTTTTTCACTATGATTGTACGCTGTACTTAATGGCTTAAAAGGACTCGGTCTGTAAATATTGGATATGTCGGTAGTAGAGAGACTGCTCGTGATGACAGGTAAAAATAATGTAAAAAAAACAAAACTTGATATTGGAAAAATGGTCCAATTGCGTCGAGATTTGCCGTAGGTTGTTTGAACATTATATTTAGCACTTTTCACACTTTTTTTCCCGATAAGTTTTCAAGTGAATAAGTCAAATCAAACCGTTAAATCATCACAGTAGTTTTTTATGTGTAAAGTACCGGAGTATTGAATTTTCAGCCTTTACCGGAGCTGTAATACAAATTTGTATAAATATGTAAAAAAGGTCAACGTCTTAGTTGTTGAAAGTCAAGTCTTGGTGGTGTTTTGGTCCTTTATTCATTTAAAATTTACCATAACAATCTTTGTTATTTTGAAAAAAAGGACTAAAAAACTCTAATTGTAAGGGTTCGATACCACCAAAAGATAGACGTACCTAATGCTGTATAGGATATAATAAGTATAAAGTCACATTATTTTCACAATGGGAGTCGTATAATATGAAATTAGCTTTGTAATCTACGCTCGATAAGTCAGAGATCTATTCTTCATAATCTTGTATTTGCATATAATATAATTATTATGTGTACACTACGACCAACGCGACCAAAAGCGAACGAAAAACGTGTTCTCGATTAAGTATTTAATTTTGTAAAAGAAACAACGTTTTTGATCATCTTCATACGAGGAATACGTACGTAGTACGACTATTAGCCTCAGAATCTGTAAATAAATAAACAAATAACGTGTGTACATTTACCTCTGATGAACGTCATATAAACAGTCGATACGATCTTGAAAACTTTGCGTCTATATTATTCTTTTTTTTTTTTTTTTTTTTTTTTTTACAAACATCTCGTAAGCACAATCGATTGTTCTTTTAAATACTTTATATGGTTCACTACATCCACAAGATACAAAAAAAACATTGTCTCTTTTTTTTTTGTTTTAAAAAAACAAAGCTACGCTTTACAGAAAAAAAAACGCACTGGCGTAATCCTCGAAAGCCGTGTAAATTGCGGGTAAAAAATTTCCATTCGCTTTGACCTATGTATACCATAAATACGCAATAAATGTACTTTCAATAAAAAAAAGTTCAGCCTTGCGCCGTTTGTGTGCGTGGCAGTGACTCTGAACATACTCGGTGATTGGAGCTCGTATACGTTTAGCCAAAGTCTTTTGTATCACTACGTTGTACGAAACAGTAAATTTTTTTTTTTTTCGAAACAAAATGAAATGAGTAATTAAAAAAAAAAAAAAAAAAAAAAAAGAAAAAAAAAAGTGACTTTCCCCATGGGCATCAAATTTCTCCTCGAAATTATTCATGAATGAAAACCCCTTCGGAGAAAACTAAAAAAAAAGGATAGCATCAAGAGCCAATAAGGTGGCAGGGGGAAAGCGAGAAACGAGAGACGACGCCCTCGAGGAGTACGGTACACTTCACAGCAGAGAGTGCAAACCCTCACGGCTGGAAACACGAGTGCTGCGGGAGAGTCGTCGCGTGACAATAATTCGCTGTAAAACAATCCAATTTTCAAGTTTCGACAAGGGAAACCGTTAGCGGGGAGGGGAAAGAGAGAAAGCGTCTGCGACCCGAGGCGGCAGCTCGTATATATATATATACATACAGGTAGAGCGGGTACAGAGGCAAGGCTACCACCACCTCGAGAGGGCGAACTCCTTTAATGGCCGTAAGGGCAATAAAACTCCTTCTTCGCGGGCACTGCTGGCGAGGGAGCGATAGAGCCCATTCCTGTGTATATATATATATACGTTCTCGCACCCCCTATCGTGGTAAACTTTCCGGCCGGGCGTTGAGCATCTTCTCGGGCTCCTATCGCTATACTGCACTTATACTTATACGCCGTCCTGGAGGTTCTTGTATACCCATACACGTGCATACATGTGTATGGTGACTCACGAAATTTAAGTTGAGCGGCACTTCCGGAAGCGGACTCTGTCTGCTTGGCCGGCATAGTTATATTAGTTCGCTGTACGATGTGTGGAGGAGGAGGGTGGGATCGAAGGGTCGGGGCGACGGAAAGTGCGAAGTGACTGTGGTGGTGTACCGCAGGAGCCGGCAAAAGCAAGGGATGTTAAGTGCTGGGGGAAGAGACTGTTTCGATTATTGCGCGCTCGCAGATGTATATGTATATGTTTCTTTTTTTTTGTTGGCTGTACGTAAGCACGTGCCATCGGGATTCATTGCAATGATGTACCAATTGCACTCGTTTTTCGTTCGGATCAACTTTTTTTTTTTTTTTTTACAAGCTTTCAGAGGTGTTTGAAAATCCGTAAACTTGTCTGTAGTTTTTTTCCTCAAACTTTCTGGTTTTGGAGTAACAATTTGGCGAAACGTTGCATTCACGCGACCCCCAAGACGAACGAAAAAACCTTGGAAAATATTTTGACCTCCGTTCGAAAAGTCCGAGAAATCTGCAAAAAGAAGCTCATCCTGCATTATCGCCCGCGTGGAAGACAAAAGTCTTTACTCCCGAGAATAAGACTTCGCGAGTTCCCGGAAACACCTTATACATCCTCTCGCAAAGTTTCTCACATCTGACGGGGGAAAAAAAAAAAAAAAATCAACAACACATCAGCGCACTAAATTCACGTCAGAGTAACGGGGCACGCGGGGGCCGAGTAAACTGCACTTCGTCATTATAAATCATACATTTAGGCAGTGCGTCTGGATTTCCTGCGCGGCGTAACAAATAGTCCACCCCCCGAGCGCCTACCTTTCTCGCTCGAGTCTCATCATCTGTTACGAAGCTTTTCGAAATCTTGATGCACACCGCGCTGGAGGTGCTCGTATACTTACGCAAATACGAAGCTTCGGAGGGAATTTTGACGTTCGCTCCGTAGATTTTTCAAAGTTAAGCCCATTACCTCCTCACGTGTATCGTACATTATGCACAAAAAAGCGCAGAGGGGTATTTTACCCTTTCCACTGAGCTTTTTGTCTCCAAATGCAGGTACATGCACGCATAATCCGGGAGGGTAAAGTATATAAAGTATATTCAGTGGTAGTTATTAAAAAGCTCCAAGACGCGCTCACCCTCCGCGACAAAAGAGATAAAAGCAACGTGTTATTAGACTTTTATCGAAGAAAAAGAGACGGAAAAAAGAAAAGACGATCGCGTTGGGACGTGAAAGAAAATACAAGTCGCAAGAGCTTTCGCTGGCAATACCCGGGATAAGCTTGTGTATATCGCGATATTATAACTGTACACTTTGAAGAGGGAGAGGCTCGCAATAAGGCGGCAGTAGAGCTCGTTTGGAAAATTCATCCCGGCCGTAATGATCGGATAATTGTATTTTCCTTCTTGTCCGTCTCCGTTTGACAAATAAATGGCTACGCTCTATCGAGGGGTAAAAGAAACGCGGGTAGACGGGAGGAAACGAGGGGGAGACGAATAGTCATATCCGAAGGGAAACGGCGACGGAAGTCGCACCACCCCCCTACCCCAGGCCTCAATTTTCCCTCTCGCTCCACAGCTGCTCCGATTGCTACAGAGTCCCTCCTCCCTCTCGTTTCTGCGCTCGGATGATTGAGCGCTAATTTATATGCCGGCAAATCGCTCTGGTCGTGACACGAAGAAAATTCCTCTCCCTCCCGCCCCGCGATTTTCCACGTACTTTCGCGGAAAAACTGCCGATCGAAAGTTTTAATGGGGGGGCGGGTGGAGTGGTTGATTTTTCCAATTTTCCAAAAGTACAAGCGGAGCTTTTTTTCACCGGACCGGCGTCCACTTTTCCTGTTTGTGTTTCATTTTCCGTCGTCCCGTGTGATGTTTTCTCCCCGAGACAAAAAAAAAAAAAAAACTTCCAACGCAAACACCTGCGCCCTCGATAAATAATACACGCGACATGGACTCCCCGGTCGCTGTATTTACTTTTCGCGCGTTCGACGGAGCGTGTCGGACGGATTATTTTTCCGTCGTAAATTTCCCGGTAATTTTATCACCGCGTCCGATCGTCGGATCGGAAAATTCACACGGTAGTACTCGATTTTGGCAAAATGCCCCGAAACGCGAGTGATTTACGCACATTTTTTTTGTTCGAAAACTACAAGGGATCGCGTGTCATTTATCACGTGTGTAAACAACAACGTGATGATAAAAATAAAAAAATAAAAAAAGTAAATAACCACAAAATTAATCAACCCCGGGACACAATTTGATTAATTTTGAGACCGAATGAAAAAAATGAAGTCTCATCCTCCCCCTCTGAGTGTATACTTGGTGATCGACAATTTATTGAAACCCCTCCGTAAAACACTCCAAATGCGCCGATCGATCGGCAAACGATTTCGGATTGCTCGAGGAAAAAAACAAAAGAAAAATAGAGTGCACACGGTAACGCAGCGCGTAATGGCCCCCGCAACCCCATACAATACGCACAATGCGTACAACACCCCCCCCCCACACGTACGCGTCGATAAACCTCCCCACTGGCGCACAGCTCCCGAGTAAATTTGGACCGACGAGCCATTACGCTCTGGCTGTACGGGTGGAGATAGCGTGACGGCGCATAGCTACTATACATCGGTAAGCCAGACACGCGCGGCCGTCTTCAACTGTGCAAATCCGCTTTTCCGACTCCATACACACGCACGACTGCTGCTCTTCGTCATTCCTGCACGAGCTGACTTTGGAAATTATCCGACTCTATGGGGGCAGGTGGTCCACCATATAGACCTTTACATTTTATACCCCGTGGTATCGTGTACAAACGAGGCCCATATGGCACGTTTTCCCACGGCTCGGCGATTA